TGCTTGAAGAAGGGTGGCTCACGCAACCCCGACCTCACCATCGCCTGCAAGGAGATCATTCGCACGTGTATTACCCACCGAGCTCTCCTTATTATGGAGTGAATCCCGCACGAAAATACTTGATCGCAATGACTGCATGTTGAAAACACAGTGGTCCCCATTCCATTGCATCCTGGATCGGCGCTGGGGTCCCCATTCCATTGATCCCTTCGCCAATGCTAGCAATGCTAAGCTAAGTCGTTTATGTTTTGGTCACCCGCACCCAAAGGCTACGGCAATCAACGCCTTCGCAATCTCCTCGTCTGCAGGATACTGTTTCGCCTTCCCCCACCTCAAATGATCCCCCCAGTCCTCCACCATTCGCAACGTACGCACACTTCTCTCACCCTCGCAGCTCCCCACTAGCCTGGCGCCTGTTGGTGGCCGCTCCTCCAACCCTCACCGCTAGCCTGGGCTAGCCCCATCAATGCTCACATCCGACTCATGCACGGCAGCCAATGCTTAATGCTAGGCACACACAGTAGTGCCTTCTCAGGCTCTGGCCTACCTGATAGCCTCATGCTCGCTCTGCAAGTCATTTTTCCCTTATGTCTGCCTTTTCGTCTCTACCACAACCATACAGTATCTAATTCCAACCCTGCAACGCGGGCTGCTCTAGATCATGGCACAAACGAGCGCAGACTCTACTATTTGAACTTACGAACCTTACTGGCAGCAGTTCCGTTCCTTCTGCACCAAGGTCAACCTTCCATTCCTGCCAACGTCGGATATGGCACTCACCTTGTACCTCGTCTATGCCAATTCAAAACAAGACCATTCTCTCCATGATACAACGCACATGCTTGGCCGTCAGCTTTGCTCACCGCATGATTGGGGCATCCTACCCTAGTACCGGTCCCTTCACGTCACAATTTCGAGAGTTCGCAAAGCGGCAGCATCCCCGGTCCAATCGGACCAAGGAAGCGGTCTCTTTACTGCAAGTGCACCAGATGGGCACTCACTTCATTGGTGCTAATGACCTGAACACCTTTCAGAAAGGTCTCATTCCCCTTCTAATGTACGATGGATTTCAGCACTACTTCGATCTTGTGGCCATCAACTGGGAGGATACCCAATTTGAGGATGATGTAATGTGGTTGCTCATCCCGCGCTCCAAAACGGACCAGGCATGTCAGGGCTCATGGGTTCCAGTTGCTGCTGTCCCAGGACCCCTCTGCCCTGTCCGATGCATTAAGTGCTGAATCCCTTTGGCAGGCTATGGACCCACCACTCCCGGGCCCTTAATCCGGGTGTTCGGCATGGCCGTGGGTGGCGTCCTTACTAGTAAGTCGCCATCATACACCACCCTACGCCACTGGTGCAAGGGGCCTTTCCATTCCATCAGCCTGGGTGAGCATCACCTCAACACCCACTCCTTTCGTTAAGGCGTTGCGACGTCGCTGCCAACGGAGGCGTTGCGGACCGGCTCTTCAAACGTCTTGGCAAATGGCGCAGCGACACGGCCAAAGAAATGTACGCCACACCCGCTGTCGACCAACTGGTTGCGGCTTCCCAAGACATACAGACCTTCGGGTTGGTACCATCTCATGCACAACATTATCGAGCTCTTGCGTGCCACCGAGAATCGTCTCCGTCCATGTCTCAGCCCAACCCGTGAAACGAGAACGATGCCATTTGCACTACAAGTTGCAAGCTTTCTCAATATGTAAAATTTTAAAGTGTTTACATTTTCAAAGTTGCGTATTGTGAATGCGAAGCTGCTCGTAACGCAATCTTCGGCATCGTCGGAGCGCTCTATTCGCCATTCTCCAACTATATAATGGGGTTGGAGGTCATTCTTCCTCCACCCACGTTTATCATTTTTCACAGCTCAAATTCAATGCCCGCCCACCCAGCCCGCTTTGCCTACTCTCCCCCGACAACATGCACCCACTGTTGATCTTTGGATTTTCGCTACTCTGAAATCCGGCAGTGATCTTTATCGGAACCCTGAAAATCAGAGTGACCTCTAACATTTTCCCTGAATGGTCAGAGTAACCCAGTATTCCTAAAAAAATTACTTTGTCAAGTATGTTCTCTTGTAGACGCTTGCAAATGCATGGGTCATGTCACGTGTGTCTAATTGCCTAATTCATACATGATCACGTGACATTTTGAGGAAGCTAGGGCCAGCATGGGCCGTGTGAAAAAAGGGTGGGGGGCGCGAAGGGATTGATTGGTGGTGCATCACAATTGCGCAACCGGGGAGAACTGGGGAATGGTTCGGAAACGAAATTGAAAGGCGCGAGGAGTGCCTATCAAGTTCGCACACGCTGGTTGGCGGGGGGCAACCAGTGCCATCCACAAAAAACCCCCTCTTCCCCACTCCCCAGGCCCTCAGATTCGTTTTAGGCCACACTGAATTTTCAGAATCGGTCGGTACACAAAGGCACCCTAAAAATACCCTAAAAATCAAGGTTGGTACTAATTTTTTTAACTAGTTAACCCCAGTTTTCCAGATTCCAACGCTGATTTTTCAGGGTCGGTACAGCAAAACACCCTGGAAATCAGCAAAATCAGGAAAAAAAATCCTTAAATCTGAGGGCCACAATCCACGCGCAGCCACCACGCTAGAGCACACATCTCATGGAGTTTTCAGTGGACCAATCGGCGCCCTCATACGAACTGCGCCATACATCACGTGGTGAATCTGGCTATGGGCCAATTAGTTCCCTCACACAGCATCCAACACACTTTGTGTTGTGAGGGCGCTTTTAGGCCCTTAGAGCGTGTTCCTACCAGCCTCTTCCCAAGCAACCTCTTCCCAGACTCGCGTGCTACAGTGTCACAAATTTTGACGCGAAATGTTTCAGTACGATTCCGCGAAGTGCGAAGTGAGATTCGGCTTCCCGAAATTCAGGGGCGTGTTTTAAAACCTCTTTTCAGACGAGCAGATTTTCAAACAAGCGCGAATCTGCACAGTAAATTTTCGACGCTAGCTGGTTTTATGTGGTTGAGAGCGATGGAGCGCAAATATGAAACGGGAGTATTCCGAAAAGTGGTCCTGGGAACACGCTCTGAAGGACGCGTGTGAGTGTGGGAAGAGGTTGCCTGGGAAGAGGCTCGTAGGAACACGCTCTTAGTCAGATTATACACATCAGACGGTGATTTCAGTTGAAGGGCCAAATTTTACCCTCACGCACGCTCCAGCAGCATGCATCGAGAGCTGATTTTGGCTAAGGGCCAATCAGGGCCCTTATACAACAGACCAACAAGCTTCGGTTTCAGTCCGTCATACTCGGCATGGATTCGGGTCCACATATGTAGACAGGGAGGTACAAGAAAAATCTGGAGGTATCCCCCCTGTACAGAAACCAACAGGGTGGTACAAAAGAAAACTCTGGCTAATCAGAGAAAACGTAGTATCTCAAAACTTTACCCAAAGGCATAAGTGTGGTACGTAAAATCAACTTTGAGAATCAGAGAATCAGCGTAATTTACTCGTCAAAAATAGGGACTGCATGCACTGCTTCGGTGGATCTTCATCGGCATAGACATATCTGTTAAAATTATATTTTATATAATTGTAGGCTTGGTAGTTATGCTACTAACTGCATCCAACTGTAGAGGGGATAACCCCCTTCTTGTACCTCACTCTCTTCTCTCTCGACATTTTCCCTCCTACCTAAACCCACCCGCCATTTCATGGCGGGCTTCCATACTTCCTAGTTTAACTAGCATTCAGACATGGTTTCAGAGCAGGCCGCCCGTCCTGGGCCTGCTCACTACGCTTCCGCTGCGTATTCGTTTTTAGTTCGCCGCCGTCGCGGCCTTCCGACTGCCTACCGCCGTGGCACTTTCTTGTTTTTCGAGATGCCGCAGCGGCTTCTGTGTGCTGCTGTCTCCGCTCCGACGAGCAGCCGCGGCTCCGACGCCACGCTGTGGAGGCATCGTATGGGTGCCGTGGCAGTGGCGTCGGGCTGCAGCAGCTGTCGTCGGGCTGCAGTCGCTGGACTTGCAGTCCGCCTGCCCGCCAGTAACCGCCGCGCCAGTCCTGGCGTCGCGCTGACGGTTTGAAGATTCGCCCCTCCTCCCCGCCCCACCCCTTCTCCTTGCGTCTCCTCTTCCTCCTGTGCAGCAGCTGCTGTCTTCGGCTCGGTCGTCGCCGGGTTTTGCCACACCGCCCAGAGCCCTCAGCTGCTGCAGTCGCCGCCTGCCTTCATCGACGCAGCCGCCTTGAGCACGAGCTCCGTTGCTGTTGTCATTGAGGCCGCCCAGATGCCGCCAGCTGCCTCTCGTCCGGGGGTGTCATCGCCTAGCACGAGGGGTCGATACCCGGCCGCTCACGAGCATGAGGGTGTATGGGATTAGGGGGTGTGTGGGTGTTGGGTGGGCTTGTGACTACCAAGCATAGGGGGTGTGTTAAAATTATATTTTATATAATTATAGGCTTGGTAGTTATGCTGCTAACTGCATCCTACTGTAGAGGGGATAACCCCCTTCTTGTTCCTCACTCTCTTCTCTCTCGACATTTTCCCTCCTACCTAAACCCACCTGCCATTTCATGGCAGGCTTCGCTACCACCTAATTTAACTAGCATTCAGACAATATCCTTCATAGTGTAGTCATTTATGTTGATGTATGAATATATTGGGAAATCTTTGTACTTGATGTCAATGGAATGAGAACTATGCCATTTGCACTACAAGGTTGCAAGCTTTCTCAATTTCCATGTCAGATGAAAATTATACGGAGGGTTTGCACTTCCCATCCGATCTCAACTTGTGAGTGGAGAACAAAACACCTTGCGTACTGTAGTTGCTAGTGGGTATACGTATGTGAAAGATTGAACAAGACGTGTTGCTTCACCATAAAAGATTATTACCTTCCTTGATATTTAATTTGATGACATGAATATCATCTAACGAGACTTCATCGTATTAGAGAACACGAATAACGAGTCTGCCAATCTGGTACTCGATACAGATCAAAACACCAGCCGTAGATTCCAAGGCTGAAATCTGTGGAAACCAGTAGCGAATAATCGCACGCTACCTAACCCCTGTGGCGTGGCGTGGCGCGTCTTTAGTTTTTTCCCATTGCGCCTGAGAGAGTCTTACCGGGCGCGCACGTCGAGCAATGGATGCTGCCGCGGGTCGCGGCGTGCGTTACACGTCAGTAACCGCATCAGGAGATTCGATTTCATCGTCCGGCCGTCAGCAGTTCTCCCCCGCCCTTGGCCCAACTTCTCGCGGAATTTCCGGCGGAAATGGCGGCGCGGGTGCGGAGGGCCGTGCGAGGCGCGTTAAGAGCCTATTGGAGGGGTATTACGGCCATGGGGGTGGCTCTCCGGGAGCGGAAGACGCGGCGGGATCGGCGGCGGGGAGTTCGGGGGGTCGCGATGACATCAACTCGAGAGCGTTTGACGCTGACTCGTTTGTAGCAAACTTGGTGCGTCTATAGCGCAAGGGGCCAGCTTTACCATACGTAGCTGCTATCCTTCATTCACCACTGACAGAATGTGATACCGAGTTCAATGCTACGGCAATATCGAGGCCTTCTCAGCTCGCTGGTAGGGTGAAGCTGGACGACCTGTTGCAGATAGCAGCACGTGCCACGTCAGACGTACTCCCATGTTCTCATGCTCCCTTGGGAGCTAAAAATAGTGTTACTCGTAGAGTCATTTTTGAGAATGCTCATAAATGACTCCACTGTTATTCGTACCTCTCACCATTGCCCTTGCGTCTTTCAGATCCGGACAGGCGAGCACGGGACGATTTCTGCTGCAGAAGCACGTGTCGTCGTCGGCAGAGATAAATAACCTCTCACCCTTCCGCCCTTTGCCCCCTTACATGCATCTCATCTCTTCCTCTGCTGCTGATCTTTCCCTTTCCCTCCCTTGGGCCGGTGCTCTCCCGCACTCATATCCGAGAGGGCAAGCTGGACGACCTGCTGCAGAAGCACGCATCATGGGCGGCTGACATCAAGAACGTCTCACCTATCCGCTCGTTGCCGCCTTCCATGCCTAAAAAATCTCCCGTTTCCCTCAGATCCGCGAGGCCAAGCTGGACGACCTGCTGCAGAAGCACGTGTCGTGGGCAGCTGAGATCAAGAACCTCGACAGCGACATGCAGATGCTGGTGTACGAGAACTACAGCAAGTTCATCAGCGCTACAGACACCATCCGCACGTGAGCATGTGTTAGGTGTTCCGTTGGGCTGTGTAGTATGGGCGGCTGTAGTGAAGAGCGCTGAACGTGACATGCAGATGCTGGTGTATGCTGGTGTATGCTGGTTTATGCTGGTGTATGCTGGTGTATGCTGGTGTATGCTGGTGTATGCTGGTGTATGCTGGTGTATGCTGGTGTATGCTGCTGTATGCTGCTGTATGCTGGTGTATGCTGGTGTATGAGAACTACAGCAAGTTCATCAGGGCTACAGACACCATCCGCACGTGAGTGTGTTGTAGGTGCTCCCCAGGTGTTGTTGAGTCATTGAAGAGCACACCAGAAGCATATGTCATGGCTCATGGGCAGTAGAGTACATCAAGAACCTCGATTGTGGCATGCAGATGCTGGTGTACGAGAACTACAGCAAGTTCATCAGCGCTACAGACACCATCCGCACGTGAGCATGTGTTAGGTGTTCCGTTGGGCCGTGTAGTATGGGCGGCTGTAGTGAAGAGCGCTGAAAGTGACATGCAGATGCTGGTGTATGCTGGTGTATGCTGGTTTATGCTGGTGTATGCTGGTGTATGCTGGTGTATGCTGGTGTATGCTGCTGTATGCTGCTGTATGCTGGTGTATGCTGGTGTATGAGAACTACAGCAAGTTCATCAGGGCTACCGGCACCACATGAGTGTGCCTTGGTTGGTTTTTCTTAGAGTCATTGAAATAGCACGTCAGGGAGAGTGGCAGAGAGAGAGAGAACCTCGAGAGCGACATGCTGCTGATGCTCGTATGGTGTGGGAAACCTACAGCAAATTTATCAGCACTACCAGCACCACCATCCGCACTGCATGTGAAAGTTCGTTTATGCTTGTCTCATTTACTTTCGAGTTGATTGTGAGTCTGCTAGTTGATTGAGATCTGCATAGGATACCCACCGCCACCTTCGTCCTGTCCATCGCCCATCGCCCTTTTCTTGAGGCGCCTTAATCAACGAAATCCAGCCAGGGCACCTCAAACCAAAATCGTCTGCATTGCAAGTCGCTGGAAATCTACGTGATACGCCCACTCACTCTCTTCGCCCTGTCCCTTTCCATCACTCTTCTGTCTTTCTCTTCCTTTCATAAATTTCTGGCCCTTATCAGGATGAAGGACAACGTAGCAAGCACGGATTCTAGCACGGATTAACCGCGTGGGATTCCCATCACTCACCCTCGTCTCCCTGTCCCTTCCCGTCTCTCCTCTCTGCCTGCCCCTTTTCTTTTTTGTCTCGGTTGCCTATCAGGATGAAGGACAATGTAGCAAGCATGGAGTCGAGCATGGACCAACTGCTGCGCACGGTATGTGAATGAACCGAATTGACTCTCCCTGACTTGACTTGACTTGACGTGACTGGGCATAGTAGGACCAGCTGCTGCTGATGGATGGACCAGCTGCGGATGTAGTCAGAGCACTCATACCAAACCTGCCGAGATGACTTTTGAGTCGACTCAAAAGTCACCTCGCTGCTGGACCAGCAGCTGCGGATGTATTTAGAGTCAGAGCACTTTTACCAAACCTGCCCTACGATTTTTGAGGCGCCTCAAAAACCTGCCCTACCCCTTTCTCTCACACACCCTCCCTGGCTCCCTCCAGGTGACGACGGTCCAGGGGCAGAGCATTGCTGTTAACCGTTCATTTTTGGACTGAAGAGGCGAGGCAGGTAGCTCACGTCACTTACAATCTGCTCTTTTCCCCCTCCCTCCAACCATCCTCCCCCTCCCCTTCCTCCCCTTCCCCCCCTTCCTCCCCTTCCTCCCCTTCCCCCCCACTTCCGTTCCTGGCTCCCCCAGGTGACGACAGTGCAGGAGCAGAGCACCGCCATCAACAGCTCGCTGTCAGAGAGGAGAGAGAGGATTGAGCAGCTGAATGGCACGCGCAGCCTGCTGAGAAAGGCGCAGGTGGGCGGGTACTGGCATTGAGAAGAAGACACAGCTATCCAGTTAGTAGTTACAAACAACGCAGCTACAGCTGTGGTGGGTGAGACTGGTTTGAGAGGGCAGGATGGATGGGCGGCCTAAGTTGCAGGTGTGCATGTGCTTTGTGTGTGTGTGCATGTACTCATAGTTTCCTCTTGCCCTGTGCAGAGCACACACAGAGAGCACGTGCACACCTAGAACTTAGGCCGCCCCATCCATCCTACCCTCCCAACCAGTCCCCTCAACACACACCAGATTTCGTTAGCACTCACACGAGGGGGTACTTTCACTTCGTTAGCACTCACACGAGGGGGTACTTTCACTTCGTTAGCACTCACACGAGGGGGTACTTTCACTTCGTTAGCACTCACACGAGGGGGTACTTTCACTTCGTTAGCACTCACACGAGGGGGTACTTTCACTTCGTTAGCACTCACACGAGGGGGTACTTTCACTTCGTTAGCACTCACACGAGGGGGTACTTTCACTTCGTTAGCACTCACACGAGGGGGTACTTTCACTTCGTTAGCACTCACACGAGGGGGTACTTTCACTTCGTAACAAGTCACGGAGATCACATTGCGCCCGTCTACTTCTTGCGGCTAACACCAAGTGTCCAAAACAACTTCGGATTGCTTTGGACGTCTTTGCTCCCCCTCCAATTCTATTCAAGTTCTGCAGGCTTTGTTGGAGGAATTTAAACTCCTCCAACAGTATGTATCTGTAGTATATCTGTAACCGTCTGCCTTCCCAAGAGCCACCAGTGCAGTGCAGATTTGGTGTTTGTTAGCCCCTCTCGCGCCTCCTCTCAATTTCCTGCCCTCCCTCCCGCCCGCTGTCTTGTTCATTTTCTTCCAGTTCATCTTCGACCTGCCTAAGCGACTAAGAACATATTCCAAGAGCCACCAGTACCGCGCAGCAGTCAAGGCTTACGTCGGGGCTCTGCCTATTCTCCAGGTGGGTCTGCCTGCCCCTCTGCTTTTGAGTCGACTCAAAAGTCACCTCCAGGTGGGTCTGCTCTGCCTGCCCCTCTGCTTTTGAGTCGACTCAAAAGGCACCTCCAGGTGGGTCTGCCTGCCCCTCTGCTTTTGAGTCGACTCAAAAGGCACCTCCAGGTGGGTCTGCCTGCCCCTCTGCTTTTGAGTCGACTCAAAAGGCACCTCCAGGTGGGTCTGCCTGCCCCTCTGCTTTTGAGTCGACTCAAAAGTAACCTCCAGGTGGGTCTGCCTGCCCCTCTGCTTTTGAGTCGACTCAAAAGGCACCTCCAGGTGGGTCTGTCTGCCCCTCTGCTTTTGAGTCGACTCAAAAGGCACCTCCAGGTGGGTCTGCCTGCCCCTCTGCTTTTGAGTCGACTCAAAAGGCACCTCCAGGTGGGTCTGCCTGCCTAGACATGAAATCGTGAACGCTTAGACTTCCCTCTGCACAGGTGTATTTTGAGTCGACTTAAAATACTTCCCTCTGCACGTGAAACCTGCTTAACCTGCAGTCTGTTTAAACCTGGAAACTTTTCAATCCTGGGATCTGCGTAAGCCTGAATCTGTTTCAAACCTGAAATCTGCTTCATCCTGCAGAGGGAACTCAGAGATTTTTCTCTCCGCACTGCAAGAAGGAGGCAGGTGACTGGCATCATGACTGGCAGACGGAAGCAAGCTTTCACAAGCTTTCACGAGCGACCCCCCAACCCCCCCAGCCCTGATGGTTTCTTGTCTGGCATCAGCAAGCGGGCTGCAGGCCCTTCTCTCAATCCCCTTCTAACACGAAGCCAACTCCAAACCCGAAACCCCCCAAACCCCAAACCCCGAACTCAAAACCCCCAAACCCCTCCCGTGTTACAGTCCTATGGCGAGACGTCCTTTCGAACGTGCAAGCAGGAGGCTGAAGACGCCATGGCTGGCATCAGCAACAGCTGCAGAGTCTCCTCCCTCCCTCCATCTCGCACCTTCCGACCTTAGAATCCAAGCGTCAACCAGCAACAAACCCGTTAACTGCAACACCCCCCCCTCTCCTCCTCCCCCCCATCTTCAGTCCTATGGCGAGACATCGTTCCGCACATGCAAGCAGGAGGCGGATGACGTCATGGCTGGCATCAGCAAGAGGCTGCAGGCGCGGGTGATGGGTGAGGAGGAGCCCATGGAGCAGAGGGCCGAGGCTGCCGTGCTGCTGCAGGAGCTGGGCCACCAGGTGAGGCGTTGACCAGCGTTGACTGACGTCGACTGGCGTCGACTTGGTGTATGGCCCTTAGAAAATGGGCTGCAGGCGCGGGTGATGAGTGAGGAGTAGCCCATGGAGCAGAGGGCGGAGGCTGCTGTGCTGCTGCAGGAGCCGGGCCACCAGGTGGGGGGGAGCAGCTATCTGTCGACGCACTGGGAGGGATCGGATGGTGGGTGAGCTGAGGCAGGCAGGCAGGGGAGGATACTACCCCCCGTCTCTCCTGCCTTCCTTCCTACACACACACACCCCTGGCCCACATCCCCGAACAGCAGGTGGGCCCTCTTATGGACGTGCATCTGTCAACACACTGGGATCGGCTGGTGGGCGAGCTGACGCAGGCAGGCATGCAGGCAAGCAGGCAGGGAGGAAGACTAGGAGGAAGTCTGCCTGCTTGCTTTCTTCCCTTACCCTTGCTCCTGACAGAGATTCACTTCACCCCATGCCCACACATCCGCCCGCATCACCCCAACATGGGCTCTCTCATGGCGCCTATCTCTCAACGCACTGGGGAACTGAGGCAGGCAGGCAGGGGAGGAGACTAGGTGGGCCCTCCGATGCGCGTCACCCCATCCCCACAAACCATCCCCCTCATAAAACAGGTGGGCCCTCTCATGGCGCCTATCTCTCGACGCTCTGGTGGGAGCAGCTGGTGGGCGAGCGGGGGCAGGCAGGCAGGAAAGGAGGATAACCCACTGCCTTCCCCTATGCTTGACATTCTTTACCTTGTGTTGCTTCCTACACACACGCACACACACACTACCCCTTATCAAACAGGTGGGGCCTCTCATCGACTCGTATCTCTCGACGCACTCGGAGTAGCTGGTGGCTGAGGCAGGCAGGCAGGCAGGCAGGCAGGCAGGCAGGCAGGCAGGCTCGAGAGGAGACTCTCCCCCTTCACTAGTGCCTTGTGCCTTGTGCTGTTCCCGCGCACACCCACCCTCGCACCACCTCCGCATTGACAGGTTGGGCCTCTCATCGACTCGTATCTCTCGACGCACTCGGAGGGAGGGAGCGACTGGTGAGCGAGCTGAGGCGGGCAGCGGAGGAAGCTGTTGCCATTCACTCCTGCCTTGCTTGTCTTCCTACACACGTACACACATAACCACCCGCACACCACCTACCTTGTAACAGGTTGGGCCTCTCATGGACGCGTATCTCTCGACGCACTGGGAGCGGCTGGTGGGCGAGCTGAGGAAAGCAAGCGAAGAGGTCGGGAAGACGGGGGAGAGGGGCGTGGTTGACCCCACGGCTCCCTCGCAGACGTTTGTCGATGCGCTCAAGAGGGTGAGTGGGAGGGGATGCATGTGCGTACGATGGTGAGAATGGGAGGTCGGGGCTGGCTGGTGGGATGGCTAGGGACAGGCAGGGGAGGATGGGGGCAAGAAAGGGGAGAGGAGGGGGAGGGGCGTGGTTGACCCCACAGCCCCCTCACAGACGTTTGTCGACGCACTCAAGAGGGTGAGTGGGGAGGGTGGGAGGGGCGTGCCACGTGTGCATCAGACAGTGAGAGCTGAGGCAGGCAGGGGTGGAGGTGGGGAAGGAGGGGGAGAAAGGGGTGGTTGACCCCACGGCTCCCTCACAGACGTTTGTTGACTCGCTCAAGAGGGTGAGTGTAGGTTGGGGGGAGAGGGAGGGCGGACGAACCATGTTCCTGGTCTATCTCCCATCGCTCTGGCTCATGCAACAGCACCAGCACGGCGCATTACAGCACAGCGCAGCACAGCACAGCACAGCACAGCAGCGTCGCTGGGTGGTGGTGTTTTGCGCAGCTCTCTGCTCGCTCCTTTTCACCCTGCCTTGCACGCTTTGTTAGCCACGATAGAGATGAGTAGAACTTAACTCAGTTTAGCCACGCAGTGTAAAAGATTCAGCTCAACTGAACTCAGCTTCGATTCAAAAGATAAAATCAAAGCAGCTCTCTGCTCGTTCCTTTTCACCCTGCCTTGCACGCTTTGGCAGCTTGCACTCTCCTCTCCTCTTCCTCCTCCATAGGACTTCATGGTCGATTTCGAGCGCACAGCAGCGCCAAGTAGGCCTGCGGTGCAAATGGATTGCTTGCCGCCACTGCTCTCGATCCCTAGCATTGAAGCATTCCCCTCATGCGCCTCTCTGCATTGCATGGATGCTTTCAAGCGCAAAGCACTGTCGACTGGGCCTCTGGTGCCGATGGAATGTAAATTGCTGCCTTGCTTGCTCCTCGGCCTCTGGGCCTCTCGCTCCCTTGCTTGCCCCTCTCGCTCCCTTGCTTGCCCCTCTCGCTCCCTTGCTTGCTCTTCTTCCCCTTCCACAGGACTTCATGGACGACTTCGACTTTTGAGGCGCCTTAAAGTCAAACTGCCGCCCCTCTCGCTCCCTTGCTTGCTCCTCTCGCTCCCTTGCTTGCTCCTCTCGCTCCCTTGCTTCCTCCTCTCACTCCCTTGCTTTCTCCTCTCGCTCCCTTGCTTGCTCCTCTTCCCCTACCACAGCATGGGCGACACAGCAGCAGTGTCGACTGGGCCTTTGGTGCACCGTGCATAGATACATCGAACGCTTGCCGCGGTTTCTTTGCTCTTTCCTTCCTTTGCCCCGAATTTACTTCACAGGACTGCATGGATGACTTGGAGCGCACAGCAGCGTCGACTGGGTCTGGGCATATGCTGCACATGTACATGTACATGGAATGGAATGCATGCCGCCATTTCTCTCGCTCCCTTGCGTGATCCTCTCGCCCCTCCACAGGACTTCATGGATGACTTCGAGCGCACAGCAGCTTCGTTCCGAGGGATATTTCCCATGGGCGGGGATAAGCTCACTGCTGCCACCCGCTCGCTTTTCAACGAGTAAGATGGTGACACGTGGCAAGTTCTGTCAAGTTGTATTTTGAGTCGATTCAAACCCATGTTGCCGGAGTGAGAGAGTGCCTCTAACACGTGTTTTGAGCCGACGGAAATCAGTCTGACCTCGTCTTTGCTCGAGTGTGTGCTGCTCACGCGTTATGTGGGCTAAATTAACGCGTCATATGAACTATCCCTGCTTTTGAGTCGACTCAATAACGCGTCATGTGAACGATCCCCGCATTTTCCACCCGCGGCTTTCTGCCCCCGCCAGGTACACCACCTACCTTCAGCGCTGCATGCAGCCATCAGACATCAAGACGACCTTTCTATGTCCTCTCAATTCCTTTCCCTTCCCCTTTCTCTCTTCCGTCTTCTTTACCTCCCTACTGCCAGGTACATCACCTACCTGCAACGCTGCATGCAGCCGTCAGATTCTAGCTCCTCCACTGACCTCGTCTTTGCTCTCAGTGAGTGGGGGGGGGGAGGGGGGTGGGAGGGGGCACGGCACAGGGATGGAAGGCGTGAGTGGGGGAGTGGAAGAGGTGTGAGTGGAAGAGGTGTGAGTGGGGGGGGAGTGGAAGGGTGCATCTGTGCAAGAGGAGGGTATGTCACGTACCTTCAGCACTGCATGCAGCCATCGGATTCTAGCTCCTCAACGGACCTCGTCTTTGCTCTCAGTGAGTGGGACTTAGCGGGGGGAGGGAAGACGGGAGGGAGTGCAGGTGTGGAAGGGGCTAGGGGGGATGGGGGGAGTGGAAGGGAAGGGGATGAGGGTGAGAGGGGGGGTAGATTGCCTACCTTCATCCCTGCATGCAATGCAACCATCACCTTTGAATTCTGGCTCCTTTACTGACCTTGTCTTCGCTCTCAGTGAGTGGGAGTGAAGGAGGAGAGGGGGGCAAGGGAGGGAGCGTAGGCGTGGACGGGAGTAGGGGGGGGGGGGAACGGAGGAAGGTGGTTAGGGAGGAATGGGGGAAGGGAGGAAAGGGGGAAGGGAACGCGTGTGAGAGGGGGTACATCACCTACCTTCAGCGCTGCATGCAGCCGTCGGATTCTAGCTCCTCAACTGACCTCGTCTTGGCTCTCAGTGAGTGGTGAGTGGATGTTTATCATATGCCTGCATTGCTGGGTGCAGCCATCAGAAATCTCAGCTCAGCATATCGGGTTTTGCTGTATTGCTGTGGTGATGTCTCAGAAGAACCTGCAGTCACTGTCCTAGCTGTCTCTTGCCTTCAGGTTTAGGGTTAGGGGGTTAAGGATTTAGGGTCTCGTGCCTTACCCATCCCCTCTTCTCTTCCCCCATCCTTGCCAGGAAGGCTATCTCAAGATGTGGTGAAAGTGTCGGAGCATGGCCCTTCCCGTTCTAGAGTGCCACAATCATGCCTCTTGTTTCCCCTTTCCTGTGCCGCCTCCCCATCCTCTCTTTCCTCCCCCATCCTTGCCAGGAAAGATATCTCAAGACGTGGTGAAAATGTTTAGGGTTTAGGGCGGGTTTCGGGTTTAGGGTCTATTCATACCTTACCCATCTCCCTCTTCCCTCCCGCATCCTTGCCAGGAAAGACATCGCAAGACATGGTGAAAATGTCGGAGCTGGTTCCTGGCGCTGACCTGGTGAAATGTCGGAGCTCGCCTTCGGGTTTAAGGTTCAAGATTTAGGGTCCATTCATACCTTACCCATCTCGCTATTTCCCCTCCCATCTCTGCCAGGAAAGATATCGCAGGACGTGGTGAAAATGTCAGAGCTGGTCCCTGATGCTGACCTGCAGGATAAGGCAGCAGAGGTGAGTAACTGTTGCGGGGTCGGGGGAAGGCAGCAAGGTTAGAAATTGGGAATACACGGGTATGTTGGAACCGTAGCTGGTTCCTGACTCTGACCTGCAGGATAAGGCAGCAGAGGTGAGAATAGGCAGAAAACAGAACCATGCATGCAGACACAGCTAGGAAACAGAAACAGGCAGCAAACAGTAACAGCCTGGAAACAGTAACAGCCTGGAAACAGTAACAGCCTGGAAACAGTAACAGCCTGGAAACAGTAACAGCCTGGAAACAGTAACAGCCTGGAAACAGTAACAGCCTGGAAACAGTAACAGCCTGGAAACAGTAACAGCCTGGAAACAGTAACAGCCTGGAAACAGTAACAGCCTGGAAACAGTAACAGCCTGGAAACAGTAACAGCCTGGAAACAGTAACAGCCTGGAAACAGTAACAGCCTGGAAACAGTAACAGCCTGGAAACAGTAACAGCCTGGAAACAGAAACAGCCTGGAAACAGAAACAGCCTGGAAACAGAAACAGCCTGGAAACAGTAACAGCCTGGAAACAGTAACAGCCTCGAAACAGTAACAGCCTGGAAACAGAAACAGCCTGGAAACAGAAACAGCCTGGAAACAGTAACAGCCTGGAAACAGTAACAGCCTGGAAACAGTAACAGCCTGGAAACAGAAACAGCCTGGAAACAGAAACAGCCTGGAAACATTCAGGTCTTACCATCTCTCTCACGCACAATGTCAGCAGAGCTGTTTCCTGGTGCAGACCTGCAGGATAAGGCAGCAGAGATGAGAAGCAACGGAAGGCTTAGGTTCCAATAGCAAGCAGTAACAGAAATGGAAATAGAAACAGCAAGAGTAACAGTTCCACCGATGTGGTGAACATGTCAGAGCTGGTTCCTGACGCCAACCTGCAGGATAGGATAGGATAGGACAGGGCAGCAGAGGGGAGAATTGGACGAGTGGGTTAAGGGAAGTAGGAAGGGCCGGAAACAGGCAGGCAAGTCTTACAATCGTACGGTCACAATGACAGACGTGGCGCCTGACACTGACCTGGAGGTTAGGGCAGCAGTGGCAAGAGGCAGAGCCTTTTCCTAACACATCCTGCAGGAGAGGGCAGCCGAGGCAAGCGAAGCGTAGCAGTTCGGTTATAGCATGTAGGGCTGTGCTTTCATGTGATCGTTGATTCCCTACCTTTCGTCTTCCCTCCTCTTCCCCCCTTCGCCCTCCCTCCCAGGCGATGGCAGCAGCAGTGCGCGATCACATCATGCAGGGCTTCGCACTTCTGGTGTGATTCTTAAGTTCATGTTCTTTTACTGCCCTCCCTCGCCCCTTGCCCCATCATCCCTCTTTTTTCCAGGCCATGGCAGCAGCAGTGCGCGATCACATCATGCAGGGCTTTGCACTTCTGGAGATTCGGATTACAGGTGAGATGCGCGAAATACTGAAAAGTTTCGTTTAAGGTCCGATGCGAATCGCTACCGCACTGCAAGTGGTTGTGCGATCTTGTGGAGTGCACCCCACGTCAGACCCTCCAAGGTCAACTTCAGAGCACTCAACTCGCAGATAAAACTGCTTTGAGTCGACTCAAAAGCGGATTACAGGTGAGTGGGATGCGAATCACTGAAGAGATTCGTTTAAGGGGAGATGCGAATTGCCACCGCAGGTGGTTGTGCACCAAGCTTTGCACCTGGGTGCTTCAGAGCACTATCTTCATCCCACAGCCATTGTTGCTTGCCTTGTGTGGTGGTTGCTTTAGCAGCCAAGCTGCTGCCTCGTTTTTCCCTCCCTTCTCCCCCCTCCCCTCCTCCAACCTTCCCCCAGACGCCTTGCCTGCAGTAGCAGCAAAGCCAGGAGCGCTTGCCCGTTCTCCTTGCTTCTCAGACTGCAGCAACTGCTAACCTTCTTTCTCTGCTCGATGTCCCTCTCGTCCCTCATCTGGGAAAGAAGGATATATCCTTCTTCCCCTCGTCCCTCCTGTTTCCAGACGCCATCCACGCAGTGGCAGCGAAGCCAGGAATGCCCGAGTCACTTGCCTCCCCGGCTGCTGCACCGGCCAAGTCGCTAGGGGAAGGGGATCGTTCCTTGGCAGCAGTGCTGGATTCGGAGCAGAGAAAGAAGTTTAGCAGTTGCTGCAGCATGGGATATCTAGGAACCAATTCAATTCTTATGTCTCTCTCTCTTCCCTCCTCCCTTCTTTCCCACCCCTTCCCCCAGACGCCTTGCACGCAGTGCAGTGGCCGCAAAGCCAGGAGTGCCCAGGTCTCTCGCCTCCCTGGCTGCCGTACCGGCCAAATCCCTAGGCGGGGGAGACTGGCCCTTGGCAGCAGTGCTGGGGTCATTTCAACCTCTCCTTTCCCCCCCTGTTGCCTTCCACTTCGTCCCTCAGACGCGCTGCACGCAGTGGCAGCAAAGCCAGGCGTGCCCGGTTCTCTTGCCTCCCTCGCTGCTGCACCGGCCAAGTCGCTAGGAGGAGGAGACAGGCCCCTGGCAGCAGTGCTGGATTCTGTGCAAGCGCTTATCCTCAACTCCTCCCTAAGGCTGCTAGAGGTAGGTTGTAGAGGTACTAGTGCTGGACAGCTGGGTATTTAGTGCCGACTGTTAGTGCTTGGTATGCGGGGGAGACAGGCGACAGACCCCTGGCAGGCAGCAGTGCTGGAATCAGTGCAAGTGCTTATCCTCAACTCGTCACTAAGGCTGCTAGAGGTACAGGCTGTGTAGGGTTCAATTTCCCGTGCGGTTAGGGGAGGGGGGAGGGGGGATAGGTAGGAGGAGGGGACAGGCCCCTAGCAGCAGTGCTGGATTCAGTGCAAGCACTCATTCTCAACTCCTCACTAAGGCTGCTAGAGGTAGGGGTAGGGGTGCTAGTGCTAGGCAGGTGGGTAGCTAGTGGTAGGTTGTAGAGGTCCTAGTGCTGGACAGCTGGGTATTTAGTGCCGACTGTTAGTGCTTGGTATGCGGGGGACAGTGGTCAGACCCCTAGCAGGCAGCAGTGCTGGATTCAGTGCAGGCACTCATTCTCAAATCCTCTCTGAGGCTGCTGGAGGTGGGTGGCGTGATGTTGCGCCGGTCTAGTCTTGTGTGTATCATGCTCTGTAGGGGGAGCGCACAGGCCCCTGGCAGCAGTGCTGGACTCAGTGCTGAAATCGGCTCTTCACTGAGGTACGGTAGTGTGGGGAGAGCATGGTTCTATTATTAAGGCACTGCGCCTTGAAAAATTAGGCGCCTAAAAAACAGGCCCCTAGCAGCAATGCAGATTAGTCCTAAAATTGAGTCTTCACTGTGGTACGGTAGTGTGGGGAGGGCATGGTTGAGTGGGCATCATGCGTGGCGGGAGGACCGACGACTGGCGACTTACTCTCTTTCTCTCTCGCGTTACTCCCTGCTCCATGCCATTTCTATCAATCTCTTGTCAACATCGTCCTTCCATCCTCCCTCGGCTTGACAGGATTTCAAGTCGCTCCTGCAGGGCCGCATCGGCCTTTTTTTGAAGCGCCTCAAAAATGGATTTTAAGTCGCTCCTGCACGGCCGCGTCGGCTTCCTCTCTTCTTGTAAAAACCGCGTGTAATGAGTCTGCTTTTGAGTCGTCTCAAAAGCAGGCTCCTGCATGACCGAGTCGGCCTCCTCTCTTCTTGTAAAAACCGCGTGTAATGTGTCTGCTTTTGAGTCGACTCAGAAGCAGGCTCCTGCACGGCCGCGTCAGGCTCCTCCCTTCTTGTCAAAATCGTGTGTAATGAGTCTGCTTTCGAGTCGACTCAAAAGCAGGCTCCTGCACGGTCGCGTCGGCCTCCTCTTTTCTTGTAAAAACCGCGTGTAATGAGTCTGCTTTTGAGTCGACTCAAAAGCAGACTCCTGCACGGCCGTGTCGGCCTCCTCTCTTCTTGTTAGAACCGCGTGTAATGAGTCTGCTTTTGATTCGACTCAAAAGCAGGCTCCTGCACGGCCTCGTCGGTCTCCTCTCTTCTTGGACCAACGACTTCCTTCCTTCTCTCATTCCACTCCCCTTCCTGTTCCCCCTTCCCTTCCCCTGTCATCTCCTCTCACATCCGTCAGGATTTCAAGTCTCTGCTGCATTTGAGGCGCCTAAAAAAAAGAGCCCTTGTCGCGGCGCCTCAAGAAAAGAGCCCTCCCCGTGTCATCTCCTCCCATCTCCTCTCCAACCTGTCAGGATTTCAAGTCACTGGTGCACGACCGCGTCGACCTCCTCTCCTCCCGGACCCACGGCTTCTTCTTTCCCATCTCTCCTCGTTTGCTCACTTCATGCTTCCACACTCTCCCCTTCTTCACCACTCCCCCTCACCTCCCTCCATTCAGGATTTCAAGTCTCTGCTGCACGACCGTGTCGACCTCCTCTCGTCGTGGACCGACGACTTCCTCTCTCTCGTCCAATCACAGCTCGCCGTCCTCTATTCCTCCCTCAACTCCCACTTCCTCTCCCTCTCCACCCCTTTACCCGCCCACGTGCACCAATCACCCACCGGCACGGAACGGCCCCCTCCCTCATCATCCGGATCAGGTAAGCCGACTGCTATTGCATAGAAGAGAAGCGATTCTGTGATACATAGGCATGAGGCCGTGGGATCAGGGCCGGCTCCTCTCCCTCTCCACCCCTCCACCCGCCCACGTGCACCAATCCCCCATCGGCATCGAATGACCCCCTCCCTCAATCTCTTGATCAGGTGAGCACGTGAGACAGAGGTGACTTCAGTTTTTCACCACCACCACCACCACCACCACCACCATTACCAACAGCACCACCGCCATTACCGCTTTTCACCGCACTCCACCGCCGTTCCATTCCCCTTGACTTTTCGGCTTCCACCAACCGTCAAACCGCCCCCTTTCAACTGCCGTCTTGATTCATTCCTCCGAGGGTGTAGGCAACAGACGTATAGGATCTCCAACCAGCAGCTCGAGACAGAAGATCCGGCCTGCGAGACCGGGTGGGGCATTTGGGACAATACGAGGAAGTTCAAAAAGTGGTCGAAAGAAGGCAAACCGACTCTCCCCCTTTGTCACTGGTCCAGGATTTAGCGGAAGCTTGAATGATACTTATCCAGAATTGAATGTAGAATTGAATGTCTACAAGAAAAGAGGCAATGATATATATACATACGAGAACTCTAGGGGAGGGTAACTAAGACCTTCTAAAAGAGTTCTAGAAATGAGTGGAATCGTTCGTAGGAACACCACCTAGAAGCACGGTAGGGAGTCTAGAGATACGGGGACAAGAAGGGAACACTCCACGCAATAGAAAACGTGTCACGCAAGGAAAGTCCGAAACACTCCGTAACACATATGATATATATTAAATATATCAATGTGTAGGGAAGAGTGTAGGGATTTCCCAAAAAAAAAAAAAAAAAAAAAAAAAACACACACAAAATAACACACAATAAATAGCAAATATCAAATGGTTGTGATCAAGGATTTGACAAGCCTCATCCTCTCACACTTCCCCCCCTCAAAACTGGGTAGACGCTGAAAGCGCCCAGTTTTCAGCAAATACTGAGGGTTGTGAGACTCAAAGCAGGCAGAGAAAATCAAGCCAACAAAGTTGTGCTTAAACAGCAGCTCCTCTGTACTTTATTCCACACACTCGTGAGCATGTACGAGTGCAGATAGCAGGTATCTCATGTTGAAGTACTGGGACGTGTGATGTTCCAACTCAGGTTGCAGAGTAGCGTAGCGATGATAACTGTTTATGTGGTCAAGAAATCACCAAGTGTACGAGGTTGACGTAGCAGTCGTGTAGTGGTCGGTTTACCGTAGTAACGTTGTAACTGCTGCGTGCAGTTGCAAAGAGACTTGTTGCCAAGTGATTGTAGTAGGACGAAATCACCATGCTCATCGGTGGAGCATCAATCCAAGGTCGTGGTCAATAAGATATGGAGATTTCTGCGCTCAACCCCTTTGACTCCTCTTCCATTTCCAGTAGGTTGTTGGTAACGATGTCGGTGATTCCAGTTTGCCTCATACATGCCCAGTTTAGCACGGATTCCATCAATTGGCCTCGGTGTTTGGATGCACGTACAGGTGTAGGTCCACTGGGTCGTCAAATGTCCTTTATAGTAATAGCTTCAATCACGTTGATACCGTTTCAGCTAATCAGCATCGATGTTGAGTCTGATCCGGTTCTGCTTGTAGGGGTGCCAATGGAGTAACGCGGATTCCTCTATTCATAGTGGCATCGGCGCTCCGGATCACGCCTATCAGCTTCCGTGCAGGTGATGTTGGTGATGGATTGGTTGGTGAAGCAGGTGCTGTTGGTGATTGATTGGTCACTGACCATGAGAATTTGAAGATAATCGTAGTCCTCCCATCCTCATAGGAGTCTCATTCTCTGAGCTCCTAAGGGCATGTAGCATAACCACGTAGGTCCAGGGCGTAGTGGTATCTCCATCCCACTAACTGAAAATCGTAGATGTAGTGTCAGGCCAGGTCTTGGAATCATGCTGGAATAAGATCCGGTGTCATCTCCATTCTCTGGAGGAATATCCATCAGGGTTGGGTGTTGCCGTAGTTGTCTTCTGCGACGGCGGCGGCGGTAGACACTCGCGGCGGCGACTGCTGCAGAGGATGCTCATAGCTCGTAACGGCTCGAAGAAGAATCCATCTGCTTCCTATTCTGTGTAGAGTATTCCGTGTTGATGGGTGTAACAATTGTAACTACCAAGGAACACGCGTGTCTTGATGCACAGACGTTACTCGATTGCTGCTGGTGATTGGGTCACTCGAGGGTATGAAGACTACTTGCTTCTCCCTTCGATGTATCCACGGGTAGCAACTGCCTGGTATGCTCATCCGTGCTCCTGATGTACGGTTGGTAGAGCGCGTGATTGTCTTGATGCAATCTGCATCTCTCTAATTTGTTAGCATCATCATATTGCTAGGCATTCTCGTGCGTCGTCGAAGTTACGTCGATGCTTCTAACGCTTCGGCTTCTGGTAGAATCGCCTCCAGTACATGTACCGTAGAGTCGCAGGCGTGCGAATGATTCCCGAATTCGAAGTCATGACTCCTCGGTCTGTCAACTCTCGTGCCTTTGTGTGATAGCATAAACACTTGGAATCGCGGTGACATGATTGAGATGTCGTCTCTTGAGGTTGATGTCAATTGCTCCAATCAATTACTTCGAATTACTGAGATTCGTAATGAAGATGAATCGATCAACTCTTATTACGAAGTAGTGTCTTGCTGTCCCTGTCGAAACATAGTAACTGCGTCGTATTTGCATGCGAAATCTGCTCCTTCGCATCAACTTTTGTTTGGCGAGGATTTGCAAGAGAAAACTGCTACTTCTCTGCCATCCTTTCTGTGTCCAATTGTTGAAGTATTTCATACTTTCAATGTAGAACGATAGTTAGTTTTATGCAAGCCGGTTTTGCTGCTGGAGATGTTCGGCTGCATTGTTGGTGTACCACCAAAATCAGCTTCTTTGGTGAAGTACGAAATTCTGCTTCTTTGGTGTCGATCTGACTTCAAACGAAGATTCTGGCTTTGTCGAAAGCATGTTGTCGATTCTGCTACTGTTGAGGTAGAACGTTGTCGCTGTGTCGTCAGGCACGTATTTTGACCCTCGGGCGTCGTTCTCCCATTAAAAAGTCTCGAGGTCCATCTGTGCCGTCGATTCGTCGACGATCTGATGATCTGCGTGCTGCGACAGCATTTCCGTCAGTCGATGTTACCAAGTGGGTGTCTGTTGCTGACGATTCTGACTATCGAGAAGTTTTTGTTGCCAATATTCCTGACGTGATGAGGAGATCCGAATTTTGAGAGCTGAAAAATCGCGCTCCATCTGGTCCGCTGGTTCAATGTTGATCCGACGGTCCAAACTCCAAGCGATCTGAATATATTCGTAAGGCTCGTTCAGGTGCGTCGAAAGTCGGAATCAGCTCGTTTTCTGCGGCAATTCGTAGTCGTCTGTGTCCGTTTTCGAATGATCGAACGCGCGCGAGCAATCCGCTTCTATCAAGGTGTCGTTTCCACAAGCGTTGAAACTAGAACTCCATCAGCTCAGGTTCGTTTCGTCTCGGACGATCTGAAGCGTCGAAATCGAATCGGACGGCTGTCGCAGATCGTCGCTAGCGCATTTCCAAGATTCGTGGCGAAGTTGGAAATTCTTGGAAAACGCGCAAATCCTTTTGCACTCGGACCGCCATGCGGTTTGACAACCGCATGAAACTGTCATGCATCCGAACCGATGGTCGATCGTATGCGGTTATAAACCACATGCAACCTCCATTCTTCCAAACTCAAATGGTTGATCCCGCATACAGCCTGTCTGTATGCACCCGGTTCGGTGTCGATACCTCTCATCATCAACTTGCCAGCAGTTTGGCAACTGCAAGTTACCTCTAGGGGAAGGCAAGAAGTCGCTGCAGGTGATTTCGCGTTACAGTTGTAGCTCCCCGCGCTTAAGCATTCAGCCTCCCGATGAATGGATCGAAGAGGAAGTCGATGGTCATGTAGTGCTTGGAATCATACATGCCTTTGACCCACTGTCGGTAGCCTCATGCAAGACGACCTTGAGCGTCGAGCAGGATTTCTCCTGGCTCGAACTTGTAGTCGCCAGGGAGGTCAACGTAGTCTCCACGCTCCTCTGATACCTCGATTATTCGGAATGAATCGCACTTGGTGGCTGGCTCCTCTAACTTGAGCAGGTCCAGGTCCTGCTGGAGCTGTTTGGGCGGGTCCTCGGACTCGGCCAGAATGGACAATGGGGTAATGGGGCCAAAACTCAATGGCAAAGGCTCGAGATGATGGTTCTCGAGCTCTGGAGGATCGATGGATGGCGTCTCCTTCAACTGGACGACTTCGAGGTCTTGCTGGATGGTCTCGGGGGAGTCCTCAAAACCTGGTGGGATGGCGGGGAGTGGCGTGCCCCAAGACGGAATGAAGTCATATTTCTGCAAAAGCTTCTCAGGCGTTAAGTCCCTCTGGTCGGGTGGTCCTGAGGTCCTGAAGACTGGAGAATCTGGGCTTGTTGGCTCCATAGTTGGCTATTGGAAATGTTGGCGTGTTGAAAAATGAGAATGAGGGACTGGTGGTGGTCTCGTGTTTTATAAAAATTGGATGAGGGCTGGGCCACGAGGTGATTCTCTGACAGCGGATGTTGCGGCTCTATTCGATGGTTGGGTTGGGGGTGATTCTCATACCCCAGCTGTTGCGGCTCGGGCGGTTGGATGGACTGTTGGTTCGCCATTCAGGTTAGGAGTGAAATCCTAAACCTGGCGGTGGTGCAGTGCGGTTCGGGTGGTTGAATCGTCATGGAGGTTGGATTCAGGGTCAAGGGTGAAACCCTTAACCCAGAGGGATGCTGCCAAATTTATGTGCGGCTCGGGCGGTTGGTCGCGCTTCGGGCTGTAGGTTGGCGACCATGGCAGTTGCAGTTTGGTGCTTGGTCCAAAACGGTTCAGGCGGTTGGTTGGTGTAAATGTGGAGATCCGCTTCCCTAAGTTGGAGGAGTCGATGTCTGTCCATACTGCTTCCAGGATGGATGGTCATTCGACGGTGAATCCACTGTCGGGGTCGAGCGGTGTTCAATGGAAGGGACGATCGGAAGCATGATGATGCCACGTGGGAGTTAATGCTTTTGTGGTGCACGGGAGAAATCGCCAAGCTGTGTGCAGCTACGGTGGATGTCCCGAGCATTGACTCTTTTCCACCACAATGGGAGGACTTGGTGGTGTCGTCGGGTTCTGTCTCGGCGGCATCATCGTGTTCTAAGTTTGGTGGTGCCTCTGGTTTGAGCGTCGGGCTTCGGTCTGTCGCGCTCGGTAGATTTAATGGAACCTTACTCGTATCTCATTGTGGAAGAGGCGATAGGGGTCGGTGTATGAGCCGTTGGCAGGACCGTTGTTGCAGTGTGTTTTGTAGGACTGAGTAGTTAGTCGGCTCAGGCTAAAGGGGGAGAGTCGGTTTGCCTTCCTCGACCACTTTTTTAACCTCTTCGTGTTGTCCCAAATGTCCCACCCGGTCTCGCCGGCCGGATCTTCTGTTTCGAGCTGCTGCTTTGAGATCCTATACGACTGTTTGACTATACCCTCGGGTTGCGTCTGATAGACATGGGCATGAGCCGAGCCTGGCTCGGCTCGGCTCGTTTGGGGTCGAGCCGGCTCGGCTCGCCTCGAGCCGGGTCCTCAGGATCCCCGGCTCGGCTCGGCTCGTCAGGGGGGCTTGTGCGGGCTCTCAATCGGGGCCACGGGGTTTGGGGTCTCTAGTATAGGGGACAATTCATATTATTCAGCTGATCGTCTGCTCCTACATCTTACAAAACTATCAGGAGGAGCTGCCGGTTTAAATATGGCTGGCTGTGGTCGATAGACTAGCGCGACAGCTTGAGGTTAGGGTTGGCAGACAATATTGGCAGGGGGGGGTTGTCGATCTGAAATTTGACAGTCGCGAAACCCCCCTTTCCCTAGCCGCGAGCCGGCTGGCTCGAAATCGAGCCAGCTCGAGCCGGCTCGCTTGATTTCACTTGCGCGAGCCGAGCCAAGCTGTCGGCTCGAGTCGAGCTGGGTACCAAAAAAGAAGGCTCGGCTCGCCTCCGAGCCGAGCCAGGTGTGGCTCGGCTTGTGCCCATGTCTAGCGTCTGATGCTTGGAGAACGTCAAGTAGGTTGCGTTACCACCTTAGCAAGTTAAAGGGGGGGGCGGCTGTAGGGGAGTAGAAGTGTCGCTGAAACCCTTGTTTTGTGTGCTCAAGGTGAAAGAGATGATTACCTCTTTGTGTTAGGAGTGAAATGACTGCATCGAAGAAGGTTACAGCTTCAGAAATGAATGGAGAATGTATAATCGTGTACGATGCGGTAGCATTTGAGGATATTTCGGGGTTAATGTCCAGATGGTACCACATCAAATATGATTATCCTTCTTGCATATATCTTGAAGTACAATGGTAACTTTCTTGAATGCGTTTTGCGACTTCTGACACAGGGGGTGGTCATCAACCAGCACTGAACACCCCCCTCGCTCAGGCTATTTTCTAGATCAGATGGGGTTGATAATATGCGCACATTTTATCAATCTTCTCAAGAGGAGCCAGAGTCTTCTTGCCCAGTATCATCGTTGCACCTTGCGTGAGGAGTCTATTTTTTAGGTGCCTCAAAAATAGACTCCTCGAGCCAGAGGCTCCTTGCCCAGTATCCTCGTTGCACCTTCGTATTCGTGTCCTTTCTATGTGTGGGTCCATTTGAGGCGCCTCAAAAATAGACTCCTCACGCATGCCCTTTCTATGTGTGGGTCAATTTGTGCAGACGTGTGTGTTTGTATCTTTGTATTTGTTCGTTGCCTCGATCTTTTCTGTATTCATTTGAATATGTCCATCCTTCCTTCTTAGGAGCAGTGAGCATGTGTGCCTATAAATGGTTACAAACTTCGTTCGCATATATGAGCACAAGTGAGTTGCGTGTTTACAATCACCCTTCCTAGCAGGAGGCCCCGTGCCGATGCTGGTGCTGCTGCTGGCACGCCTCTCGCTCTTCATCCAACACTCTGCCCTGCCCAAGCTAGCCGCAGTGAGTGTGTGAGGAAAGGGCTTCTATTGAGTATAAGGGGGACAGGCTTTGCCATAACTATTTTTGAGGCGCCTCAAAAAAGGGCTTCTATTGAGTATAAGGGGGACAGGCTTTGCCATAACTATTTTTGAGGCGCCTCAAAAAAGGGCTTCTATTGAGTATAAGGGGGACAGGCTTTGCCATAACGAATCTGGGCCGATGCTGGTGCCGCTGCTGGCACGCCTGTCTCTCTTCACCCAACACTCTGCCCTGCCCAAGCTAGCAGCCGTGAGTGTGTGGGGTGCGAACTAGCAGTGGTGAGTGTGTGGGGTGCGAACTAGCAGTGGTGAGTGTGTGGGGTGCGAACTAGCAGTGGTGAGTGTGTGGGGTGCGAACTAGCAGTGGTGAGTGTGTGGGGTGCGAACTAGCAGTGGTGAGTGTGTGGGGTGCGAACTAGCAGTGGTGAGTGTGTGGGGTGCGAACTAGCAGTGGTGAGTGTGTGGGGTGCGAACTAGCAGTGGTGAGTGTGTGGGGTGCGAACTAGCAGTGGTGAGTGTGTGGGGTGCGAACTAGCAGTGGTGAGTGTGTGGGGTGCAAACTCTGTGCTTGAGTTGAGACCCAGTTCGCGCCACGTAACGTCCGGCTGGACGACGAGAGCGAGCAGCCCTTCTCCTCTTGAAAGAACTGCTCCTCCTCCCTTTGCCCTCCTCCTTCCTTCGCCCTCTTCCTCCCGTTGCTTTCCTCCAACCATCTCAGCTGCTCGTGACCCAGTTTTCTCTCCACAACATGCGCTGGACGAGGAGAGCAAGCAGCTCTTTCTCTCGCCCTCTTCCCCTTCGACGAGAGGTAGCGGCACTGCCGCTCTTCCCTTCGCCCTCTTCCCCTTCGCCCTCTTTCCCTTCGCCCTCTTTCCCTTCGCCCTCTTTCCCTTCGCCCTCTTCCCCTTCGCCATCTTCCTCCCTTTGCTTTCCTCCAACCTCTTCAGGTGCTCAAGACCCTGTTTGCTCCCTGAAATGTGTGGCTGGACGACGAAAGCGAGCAGCTCTTCTCCTCTCCCGACCTCATGAACCACTCTCTCCGTATCCCCCTTCTTCCTCCTCCTGTCTCTGGCTCCGTCCACCAACCCTTCAGGTGCTTGAGACCCAATTCGCCCCCAGCAATGTCCGTCTGGACGACGACAGGGAGCAGCTCTTTTCCTCTTCGGACAGACCCCATGAGGCTCACCCTTCTCCCTGCTGCTGTTCTCTTCCCCGTCTTATCCCCTCCAACTCCTCTCAGGTGCTCGAGACCCAGTTTGCGCCCCGCAATGTCCGGCTGGACGACGAAAGTGAGCAGCTCTTCTCCTCTTGCACTGCCCCTCCCCCTTCCTGCTTCCGTTAAACCCCCCCAGGTGCTCGAGACCCAATTCGCCCCGCGCAATGTCCGTTTGGACGACGAGAGTGAGCAGCTCTTCTCCTCTTCCGAACTCATGAGGCAGTTCCACGACACTTCCGAGAAGCTTCTGCAGCAGGTCAGTTGGCGGCGTAGCACTCTCCTTTCTCTTTTCTTGTCTCCTGTTCCATTTAAGGAAGCAACCTGCCGCCCGTCCTCCCTCCCTTCTCACGTCTCCCATGTCCAAGACGACAGAAGGAAGGAAGGGCACTTGCACCCAACAGTACCGTTGGAGGCACTTTCGATGGGCGGCCTAGAGCCCATCTGGAGGGATCTGGACTCTAGTCAGCTGCATCGGATGACTGCCAAGAGTATATCATTTGTGTCCCTACACCCACCCCCCCACTCCCCACCCCTCCCCTTTCTATCCCCCAACAGTACGTGGATCTCGAGGCTCGTAAGCTGCATCAGATGATCGCCAAGAGTGTATCTACACCTAATTGGGTCAAGGTGCGTTATTGACTGCACACCTATTTATTTCAATGCCTGCACTCAACTATCCACACGTGTTTTCACTCGGGAGGTGCATAAGTTAGGTCTGATACTGCAAAAAAAGGAAATAATTGAAGACTCTAAACAACAAGAGGAGAAGAGCTTCTCTCCCCACCCTCGCCCCACCCTCGCCCCACCCTCGCCCCACCCTCGCCCCACCCTCCCCCCATCCTCGCCCCTCCCTCCCCTCACCCGCTCTCCACCCCCCACTCGCACTCACTTCCACAGGACAAGGCGCCTAGGGATGTGCACATGGTGGTGGATCTGATTGTACAAGGTGACTTTTGAGTCGACTCAAAAGTCACATGGTGGTGGATCTGATTGTACAAGGTGACTTTTGAGTCGACTCAAAAGTCACATGGTGGTGGATCTGATTGTACAAGGTGACTTTTGAGTCGACTCAAAAGTCACATGGTGGTGGATCTGATTGTACAAGGTGACTTTTGAGTCGACTCAAAAGTCACATGGTGGTGGATCTGATTGTACAAGGTGACTTTTGAGTCGACTCAAAAGTCACATGGTGGTGGATCTGATTGTACACGGTGACTTTTGAGTCGACTCAAAAGTCACATGGTGGTGGATCTGATTGTACAAGGTGACTTTTGAGTCGACTCAAAAGTCACATGGTGGTGGATCTGATTGTACAAGGTGACTTTTGAGTCGACTCAAAAGTCACATGGTGGTGGATCTGATTGTACAAGGTGACTTTTGAGTCGACTCAAAAGTCACATGGTGGTGGATCTGATTGTACAAGGTGACTTTTGAGTCGACTCAAAAGTCACATGGTGGTGGATCTGATTGTACAAGGTGACTTTTGAGTCGACTCAAAAGTCACATGGTGGTGGATCTGATTGTACAAGGTGACTTTTGAGTCGACTCAAAAGTCACATGGTGGTGGATCTGATTGTACAAGGTGACTTTTGAGTCGACTCAAAAGTCACATGGTGGTGGATCTGATTGTACAAGGTGACTTTTGAGTCGACTCAAAAGTCACATGGTGGTGGATCTGATTGTACAAGGTGACTTTTGAGTCGACTCAAAAGTCACATGGTGGTGGATCTGATTGTACAAGGTGACTTTTGAGTCGACTCAAAAGTCACATGGTGGTGGATCTGATTGTACACGGTGACTTTTGAGTCGACTCAAAAGTCACATGGTGGTGGATCTGATTGTACAAGGTGACTTTTGAGTCGACTCAAAAGTCACATGGTGGTGGATCTGATTGTACAAGGTGACTTTTGAGTCGACTCAAAAGTCACATGGTGGTGGATCTGATTGTACAAGGTGACTTTTGAGTCGACTCAAAAGTCACATGGTGGTGGATCTGATTGTACAAGGTGACTTTTGAGTCGACTCAAAAGTCACATGGTGGTGGATCTGATTGTACAAGGTGACTTTTGAGTCGACTCAAAAGTCACATGGTGGTGGATCTGATTGTACAAGGTGACTTTTGAGTCGACTCAAAAGTCACATGGTGGTGGATCTGATTGTACAAGGTGACTTTTGAGTCGACTCAAAAGTCACATGGTGGTGGATCTGATTGTACAAGGTGACTTTTGAGTCGACTCAAAAGTCACATGGTGGTGGATCTGATTGTACAAGGTGACTTTTGAGTCGACTCAAAAGTCACATGGTGGTGGATCTGATTGTACAAGGTGACTTTTGAGTCGACTCAAAAGTCACATGGTGGTGGATCTGATTGTACACGGTGACTTTTGAGTCGACTCAAAAGTCACATGGTGGTGGATCTGATTGTACAAGGTGACTTTTGAGTCGACTCAAAAGTCACATGGTGGTGGATCTGATTGTACAAGGTGACTTTTGAGTCGACTCAAAAGTCACATGGTGGTGGATCTGATTGTACACGGTGACTTTTGAGTCGACTCAAAAGTCACATGGTGGTGGATCTGATTGTACAAGGTGACTTTTGAGTCGACTCAAAAGTCACATGGTGGTGGATCTGATTGTACAAGGTGACTTTTGAGTCGACTCAAAAGTCACATGGTGGTGGATCTGATTGTACAAGGTGACTTTTGAGTCGACTCAAAAGTCACATGGTGGTGGATCTGATTGTACAAGGTGACTTTTGAGTCGACTCAAAAGTCACATGGTGGTGGATCTGATTGTACAAGGTGACTTTTGAGTCGACTCAAAAGTCACATGGTGGTGGATCTGATTGTACAAGGTGACTTTTGAGTCGACTCAAAAGTCACATGGTGGTGGATCTGATTGTACAAGGTGACTTTTGAGTCGACTCAAAAGTCACATGGTGGTGGATCTGATTGTACAAGGTGACTTTTGAGTCGACTCAAAAGTCACATGGTGGTGGATCTGATTGTACACGGTGACTTTTGAGTCGACTCAAAAGTCACATGGTGGTGGATCTGATTGTACAAGGTGACTTTTGAGTCGACTCAAAAGTCACATGGTGGTGGATCTGATTGTACAAGGTGACTTTTGAGTCGACTCAAAAGTCACATGGTGGTGGATCTGATTGTACAAGGTGACTTTTGATTCGACTCAAAAGTCACATGGTGGTGGATCTGATTGTACAGGAGGTGGAATCACTGGAACACTCAGTCGAGCAGCTGCTGGAAGCAGGAGCAAATATGCGGTGCCTTTCTCATCCGCCCTCTCTCTCCGGACCCCCGATACACAGTACAAGGAGCCTCGCGACGTGCGCATGGTGGTAGATTTGATTCTGCAGGAGGTGCAGTCAGTGGAAGACCCTGTGGAGCAGCTGCTGGAACCAGGAGGACACATGCAAGCTCCTCTCCACCTTCCCAGACCCCCCCTCTTATTCTCCCGCCTCCCTCTCTCCCCCCCCTCCCCCTCCCTTTTCCTTCCCCAGTACAAGGAGCCTCGGGATGTGCGCATGGTGGTAGATTTGATTCTGCAGGAGGTGGAGTCAGTGGAAGATTCGGTAGAGCAGCTGCTTGAGCCCGGAGCAGAGCGCACCCGAACCTCTCGAGGAGGCTCGGGAGGCAGCTATGGGAAGAGCCGCGGCAGCGCAGGCTCGGGAACAAGTGGAGGAGGGGGAGGCGGGAGGAGCGGAATGGGAGGTGGGCAGAAGGAGAGAGGGGGGAACCGGGGAAGGGTGTTGGAGAGGGACGTTGCAAAGCTGTTTAAGCAACGGGTGGAGATCTTTACTAAGCTTGAGTTCACTCAGGTAAGCGTTTTGGCTTTTCATTTTCTCTCTGCCTCTTTTCTGTCATGGGTGGAAGTGTGATGGCCACTGGTGGTGAAGCTGACCCTCAAGAGCTTCCAGGAGTGTGTGCCACTGGTGGAGCTTCCAGGAGCGTGGAGATGCTGAGCCGAGGCACCTCAAGCCCTTTGCACTGAACCCTTCTCCTGCATACCTGTACCACATGCAGGCGTCAGTCATGGCAACTGTAGTGAAGCTGACTCTAAGGAGCTTCCAGTAGTGTGTGCGCCTGGAGACGCATTTCTAGTCACCTCACAATTCCCTCGCCTCCCTTTTCCTGCACACAATAATTGATTGCAGGATTCAGTCATGGCTACTGTAGTGAAGCTGACTCTAAAGAGCTTCCAGGAGTGTGTGCGCCTGGAGACGTTCAACCGAGGCGGGTACCAGCAGATCCAGCTCGACGCGCTCTTCCTCTGCGAGTCATTGCGAGCATATGTGGACGATGAGACAGCGGTTGATACCCTCATGGATGAGGTGAGTTTCTACACTAGGGTCTATGGTTGCCTTGGGAATCTGGAGACGTTCAACCGAGGTAGGTACAAGCAGATCCAGCTCGACGCTCTTTTCCTCTGCGAATCGCTACGCGCTTATGTGGACGATGGGACTGCGGTTGATACCCTCATGGATGAGGTGAGTTTCTACACTAACCTTTACGGCTTGACTTGTGTCCCCTATTCCCTCCCCACCCCCAGGTGTGCACAGCAGCAGCGGAGCGCAGCCTGGATCCCACATCCATGGATGCTGTTGCCATGGACCGAATCATGCAGGCCAAGCGCTCCCGCTCCTCCACATGATGCTCCTCCACATGATGCCCTATGTGAGGGATATGAGTGCGCATACGCATCAATGGATGCCGTTGCCATGGATCCCATAATGCAGGCCAAGCGCTCCCGGTTGTCCACATGAATACATGTACTTCCAAGGCCATGGGTACTTGCACTGTGAAGCAGAGTGGATGTATGGGGCATGCATGCATATGCCACAAAGCAGGTCACTGGTCAAATGAATGTACCAAGGAAGCACTGTAGCAGTCTGCAGTCCCCTGTGCAGTTGTTCTTGTGTGACGAGCTGTATGGACTACTACAGGCCCTCAAATTCGTTTTAGGCCACGCTGATTGATCAGTGTCGTGTCGATCTTAAAAAACTCCCTGAAAATCAGTTTTTGGTAGTGGTTTTCTTACTGGTTGGCCCTGGTTCTTTCATTTTCAAGGCTGATTCATCAGGGTCGGTACTAGAGAACACCCTGGAAAAAAGCAAAATCAGTGTAAAAAGCCTGATAATATGGGCTACTACACCTTCAAACAAAACATCTTCCTCCATCGTAAGATAACTGTAACTATCAGCAAACTTTACAGTAGCAAAAAGGTATTCAATAATAAAACGCCGAGATGGGCATGCATGCACGCAAACCCGGGTAGTACTAGATTAGCCAACAAGCTACACAATTTCCACCACCTTAGCACAGAGCGGATGCGATTCAGTGTGAGGCTGCTTGTATCGAAGCGCGATGAACCCCACGTAATCACAGGCGAAATCAATAGCATAAGCAACAGTGAAGAGACCAATCAGAATGGAGAAAACGATGTAACACCACTGCCAGGGGATAAGAACACAAAGAGAGGGAAAAACATAGAGGAGAGGAGGGGAATTGGCAAATAGGGATTGAAAATTATGGGGAGGAAAGGGCAAGCATAAGTATCAGAGCTCGAATAACGAATACAAGACAAACATTGCAAGAACACAAATGGCTTATAACAAAAGATATCGAAACAATCAGAGCTCTCCGGCCCAAACAACACAAAGACGGCCTAGATAACTCAAAAATTGCATGAGAAGTGGCTGGCTAACTTAAATCAATGACAGTAGTCCCACTCACATCAGTATTGTCGCCGAATCTCTCGCTAGCCAGCTCGAGCCCAAGGCACATGTTGCTTCGAGCCACAGCCACAATGCAGTGCACCCACCACGTTCATAGGTCAAACCCTCACCACGAACACACTAGCTCACATCAGTGCTCAAGCCGAAACTCTCGCTTGCAAGCTCGAGCCCAAGGTACGTGTTGCTCCAAGCCATTGCACCACACGCGGTACTTTCACCCGCAATCACAGGTCAAACCCTCATCATGAACCCACTAACTCACATCAGTGTTGAAGCCGAATCTCTCGCTAGCCAGGTCGAGCCCAAGGTACGTGTTGCTCCAAGCCATTGCCACGATCGCCACACCAACCACCCAATGCAGCGCAAACCAATAGCGTCGCGCGAAGTGGCTCTTGATCGGCCTCAGCTGGCCTATGATTGGCTGCAGAACGATCAGCAACAGCACGGCCAATCCCAGCCTGCCATGTGTAGACTGGAAGGAGCTCGATCCCGATTCGACCAACGCCATGATGATTCCGGCCAATGAGAGCACGACAGCGAGGAGCATTGTCCACTTGTGGGCCACAAACGCCTGAGGCTTAGTAATCCATGGTTTCACTATCGTAACAACGGTAACCGGAGTTACATTTACGGCCGCTCCTGCTGCCGCCGCTGTTGCTTCAGCTACAGTAGCAGGGTCTGGAGCTGGCTTATCCGCCAGGAATATCCTCGATATAAGCATGGCAGCCGGCATGAGAATGCCAAAAGCTACAGTGAGGATCCACCCGTGTGCGGCATAGAGAGTTGCAGCGCTGCTTTTCGACTTCCCACCCTCTATTGTGCCTGAAACGAAGTCGATTCTAATGGATCCTCTGTTGGTGAGGGAGAGGGGGGATGGGTGGGGAGGTGGCACGGGAGCAATGAAAGAGAGAGAATTTCACCACCTCTATTGTGCTTAATACGAGGTTGATTCAAACGGATTCAAACGCCCCTTTCCTACTCGGTTCGATTAGACTCAATATCAATCACAGGTACTCACTCGTTCGACCCGTGGTCTTCCAATTCTTGGGAGTTGGAGCGAGAGTACGCCCAGAGCACAGTGGTGGCGCCGTTGGTGCTGATAGGGACAGAGCCGACTGAGAGGGGACGCTCGAAACTGCGGGGGAAGGGGGTAGCGGTGGTGGGTGCGGAGAAGGGGCAAGGGGCGGAGGGATTAGACGGGGATAGGAAGCCCAGAAGAGCTCTCGAGTCTATTTTTGAGTCGGCTCAAAAGCATTGGGCGTGGGGAGGGAAGGGCAAGGGGCGAATTAGACAGGGAGAGGAGGCCAGAGGAGAGTGATGTGGCGCTGCTGATGGTGATGAGGTGGCTTGTTTTGAGGCGCCTCAAAACTAGACTCCTAACACCCCGTTGATGGTGATGAGGTGCTTTTTTAGTCACATCAGCTGCCACAATGGTGATGAGGTACTCAAAAATCACGTTGATGGTGATGAGGAAAGGGGCAAGGCTCAAAGCTGGGGCACCAAGAAAGGACGCTCAAAGCTGTGTGGGGATGTTGGAGGGGAAGGGGGTGGGGTGGGTGGGAGAAGAATGAGCAGGGTCTCTGTTGTGTTGAGAGACGA